AGTCACAGAAATATTCAGAGATAGGAAGTTTTGGTCGAAGAGATTGCAAAGCTTTTTAAGAGGTGTAAATCCTCTTAAAATGAATTACTAAAAATAAAATGATCATGAATGCGCGATAAAATCATAAAACGACTATTCCTGAGCGATATGGTTATCTTCGGTGCTAGTCGTAATGTCAAGCAATGCCCGAATCTCTGGCCCAGCATAATCTTGAGCTTTTCAAGATGATTTGAAGAAACACAATAAAAAGCATGACGATCTGTTGAATGGTGAAGAACACGGTAGTTTGGATTCAAACGATCTCTTTCAATCACCCAAGAATTGCCGGTACATCACGTGGACACCGTGGCAATTGCGAACAAGCAAACGCAGAACAGAACACGAAGCAAACTATCTGCAAAACTCATTACCATGAGCATTGCTATCGAAAAAAATGTTTAAAAAGATACGCTGCCTGATACGCTGCATTTACAAGAATGCGAGGCGAGGCGGGAATGGAAGCTATTGTTATCGTTATGGGTGGAAGTAAAACTAGCACATGCACATATAAACAACTGTGCAAAATAAGTTTCTTCTTTGGCAATAGCAATAGGATTTTTTTTATGTACATGTACACTACTGGACAATGAAATATGATATTTGAAAAAAGATCGTCACTTTCGCGCGTCTGTAACTCCCTTGTCTTTACCGTATTTCTAAATATTAATATTACCATTGTGTAGCCCATGAAAATAGCTTTCAGAAAATGTATCACACTAATAGTTTAAACTCAAAGACAAGGGAGTTACAGACGCGCGAAAGCGACGATCTTTTTTTTCAAATATGATATTTCATTGTCCAGTAGTGTATGTCTTTATGTCCAAATTCGAAAATCTTTTTTAAAGTTTCAGACATCCAGTCAAGCAAAAGTAAAGAACACGCAGAACTTGAACGAAACTAAAATTTTGGAGGCGGCTTTGAAAGCCGGAAAGAGCAAAGAAATTCAGATAACCAAGGACACAAATTATGGCCGCTGGTAAGTAATCGATGTTTTTCTCAAATACCATATTACTCATAGTAAATTGAATTGAAATTGAATGACAGTTATCAGATGCGAAAGTCGCGGCTTTTCTCCAGAAGCACTACACCAAGTAAAGACTCTATAATAAAAAATTCAATCTCATTTTTGCTGTTTTTCTTTCATTATTGATTTGATTTGAAATTTGAAATTACCTCATTTTGATGATTTCTTGTTTAATATTCTAATCAATGATTTAAATATAAATAGAAAAGCAGTTAAACAGCTAAGGCCTCAGCTAAAGCCTCAGCTAAAGCCTCAGCTAAAGCCTCAGCTAAAGCCTCAGCTAAAGCCTCAGCTAAAGCCTCAGCTAAAGCCTCAGCTAAAGCCTCAGCTAAAGCCTCAGCTAAAGCCTCAGCTAAAGCCTCAGCTAAAGCCTCAGCTAAAGCCTCAGCTAAAGCCTCAGCTAAAGCCTCAGCTAAAGCCTCAGCTAAAGCCTCAGCTAAAGCCTCAGCTAAAGCCTCAGCTAAAGCCTCAGCTAAAGCCTCAGCTAAACCCTCAGCTAAAGCCTCAGCTAAAGCCTCAGCTAAAGCCTCAGCTAAAGCCTCAGCTTATTTCTTAAATTTCAAAGCATAAGCTTATTTTCTGGTTTCACAAAGCCAAGATTATCAGCAAATAGCCACAAAGACAAGTTTAGTTTGAGCAGTGTCTAGATATTCGTCAAATTCAACTTCAGTAGTGTCGCAACGGTAAAAATAATCTATCCAAAGTTATCTCACAAATTCAATACCACGAGCGATAGTTTATATATCCAGATTTCAATTTTTCGGCTCATTTCGATTGCCTGAAAAACATTGGGTGTGGTAAAAAAGGGGAAAGGCTTGAAAAGAAAGCGGACACATGACACCTCTCTTGAATCCTTTTCCCGAAAAGCACTGGCCGAAGAGTCCTTTGTCGATGAAGTGAATGAAAGGGGAAGCGGCGGCTGATCCCGTCGCATTAGAGGTTTAGCAGGCCTCCGTGTATTCCTCTTTTTTTGTGCCACAATCACTTCTTCTCACCTTGTCTTTTGATCAGCTTTTTCTATGGTCATCTTTGTCTTTTTGTTCGCTATTCATCGACGGAAAACAACGATCACGCGATTTTCATCCGGGAATACCTTAAGCGGCTTATTGTTGTCAGCTTCAAGGCTGACCATTCACGTCACGCTTTTGCTATAGCTTTTGTGCCGTGCCGAGTCTTTCTTTGATACAATCACTGCTATTCCAACTGATCAAGACAATCGTTTTCTTTCATTTTAAAGTTTTTGATTAGTTTGTTCAAATCTGAGCCATGAACTTTTCGGTACTTTTCCAGTTATTCCTTGCAAAGGAATCATATTAATTTCAATTTAATTTGTTAGTTTAAAACAGCAACAATTCAATTCACTGACGTTTTTTGAAGGGATTCAACTTCAATTTACTAATGAGAGGTAAAGCTGGAGCTAAAGCTCTCATTTTCTTCTCTTTTCTTAAACTATATGCTTTTCAGTTAATACCTTCTAAAAACAGTTCCTATTTTTCTAAAATACACATAATCAGTCATACTCTAACAAGCAATGAGTCTTGTTTCCAATTTTGATACAACTTTTGATCATCCAATGTTCCTAATCGATCCAACGATGAAAACATGTGATCAGATGAATGACGTGCTCCCTTCCCTCTTTTCCCTGCTGTCAAACGCACGAGATTTTGTTTTTTTCTCGATCTGCGTCTTGATTTCAGAAGTCAAATCAAATAGCAAGTTGATGTTCGTACAAAGGCACATTGACTGTTTATAAATTTGAAATCTGCAAAGTATTTAAAAAATTCTTTAAAGAATTGTTTAAGTTTTTGTAAAAAAGCTTTAAAGTTGTAAAAATAGACATACTGTTAACAAAATTTTGCAGTTTTTGATTTATTTTAAACTTAGTTTTACAAACCAAACTGGAAAATTGAAAGATTTAATAAAATTCGATAATCAGTAGACTTTTATTAATCACTAGATGTTTAAAATTTCATCCAGAAGTTGCCAAACTTCATTATTTTACTTTACTTATTGAATTTTCATACTTAAAACCTGTAACGTTTTTTTCTTTTCACAAAATTCCCAATGAACAGTCTAACCCCGCGATGAAAATACACCAAAGTGGATTGATTGTGGTGTGTGTTGGTTGTGAGAGAGAGAGAGTCTTCAAAGACATCCAGTTAGAAAGTATTTGATCTTCGGAAGCTCATTGAGTGCAAACATATGTAGCAAACCTATCGGCAAAGTGCAAAAAAAAGAGAAAGAGACCCCAATTTGCACTCCTCTTTTTTTTTGCTATCTCTTTTTCTTCAACTCCAACGACCCCCTTTCAACAGGTTCTCATATTTTCACACCCAAGGGAAATCTGGATTTTTTTAGTGTTCAAAGTCTATTTGATTGAGTAGACATGCATACTTTTGGCGTAAAAATCGAAACGCATCCCTTCTGGTGCACTCATCAATGGGTAGAGCTAGAAAAAAACAGAATTTAGTGCACTAGAAAGGATGTGTTTCCATTTTCTGAGCATAAAACAAAAGCCTAAAGTCTGTAGAACTTGTAAAAGGGCTATTAGGCCCTTTCTGCCACACTGAATCCTGTTTTTCTAGCACCAGAAGGGCTGAGTTTTGATTTTTACGCTCAAATTACACTTAGAAAACATTTCTACTTAATCCAATTGATTTAACACAAAACTGAAGAAAATCCAGAATCCCTAGAAGAAAATATGAGAACTTTGAACTGTCGGAGATGTCAAGCCTGTTTCGAAAAGCCAATAAGGCTCAAACCAAGTCAAAACCAAGACCATAGCTTTAAAAGAATAGACTTGATATTATCTATAAGTATTGAATCACACAGTCAGTACCATTCCATAAAATTTCATCACCATCCTGCTTGCTTGGTCACATAAAGTGCTTGTCAATATTGAGTCCAACAATGGAAGTGACTCAAATCAAGTTTCACTAAGCCTGACTGTTTTTGCCATTCCATTCAGTGTAACCATTTTCCTGAAATGTCACCTAGAATGGAGGTCCTGGTGTCAGTTTAAAGACTGGAAGAAAGAGAAGAAAAAAAAAGACTGACGATAGAGCAATCCGGTCTTTTCCCCCCATCGTTTGACTGTCTCTTTACCTCTATTAGTGTCTAGACGGTCAAAAAAGATTACTTTGATAGCATTGGTGAAGTTGATTAGTTTGAATTTTATACTACACCAATAACACTGTAAAAACTGCGCTTATTGCTATTAGTACTTTAGTACTTTAGTACTTATTGTGCTTTAGTACTTATTGTTAGTAATAAGACAGTACTGTAGACACTATCAAAGCCAAAATCAACTAGAATTCTCAGTCAGAAAGTTTAGAATGACTTTGGGCTTAATTTTTAGACCAACTCTTGACTCCATGAAAAGATCTTCACATTAAGAGATTCAAATCAAACTTTATTCTCCAACCATACGGTAGATCTAAGCTTTACAAGCTCTAGATCTATGCAAACTTCCATCTTGTCCATCAATCTTATCAGCAAGCTTTAATTTCTAATGTAAACTAACGATTTGATTACGGTAGCTCTCTAAAATACCCATTAGAGCATTAGCCAATGAAGAAAGCAACTCTATACAAACTCTATACAATCTTCTCAATCCATAGAATTCTCTGATCTCTCTCATCGATCTCTCCATCCACCCTTTCCCCCTCTGAGAGACCATCCCGCATCCGCAGCCCCTTTTCCTTCCGATCGCACACACCCAGTCGCATCCCCTTGGTGCTTGCCCATCCCTTCAGTCTCTCTTCTTCCATTTCTCTTCTCTTTCACGTCTCCCCTATTCACGCCTGCGTGTTGGCAGCATCAAGACCTTCCCCCAAACCGCACCGTTACCATCCGGAAACTCCATTTCATCTCATTTCTTTAATACTTTTCTTCTGGGCGCCCCCTTTAGCCCTCCTTTTTTTTGGCTTAATCCAAGATGCCGAGGGCGTAAGTTGTTTTCTTTATTTTCTAACTTTTATCTAGTTTCTATTGTTTAAGTCTAAAATTTTCAATCTCAATTTGATCACGAATGTTTAGGGTTTCTCGTGAGCCGTCCGGAGCAGGCCTGGTAAGCAGAGCGGGTCTAGTTCACGGAACGGCCAGAGGACACAACGATATGTGGTACGATTTGGATACGTTTCTCTTGGTGAGTGTTTTTGAATTTATCTTTTTTACCATAAAGCTTGAAAACTTACAGCTTTTAAAGTCTTTTATGCTATTATTGCAATCACTTGTTGACAAAACTTGTTGTTGAAAAGTCTCGTAATGTTTTTTGATTACTTTTTTAAGCTAGATCTTCTAAATTCTTCTTCTAAAAGTCTAAATTTATACTTTTCTCATTGTTAGATTTGAACTTGTACTTCTTGCAAGAGCTTTTTTCCTTTACAGAATTATCCACCTTTTCAATGGCCACTAAAATACAAATTCTTCATTCTCCATCGGGTGACACATGGATTGATACGTGAAAGAACCAATTTTCTTTCTCTTTCCTTTTCTCTTTCCCTTTCATTCTCCCTTTTCCTCATTCTCTTTGGATTCAAGTTGGGGTACATCTCCCAACCCTTCACTCTTGTACGTCTGTATGTTACGCGCACTCGAATTCAAGTATCCAGTCAGTCCCTTCTCTTCTCCTTTCTACAAATCATTACATCTACCCAATCAGATAGAAAATGATGAAATTGAATGAAAGGAAATTTAGGTTTGATTTTTAGGAATAGCTTTTCATTTTTTCAATCTTAGGCTAGTTGATAGAATGAAAAAATTCCGAAATCTAGATGGTCAACAGTTGCCTAGGGTAAGCTCAGTAAGATAAGGCTCGTTAGTACAATAAGATATCTAGAAATCATTTATCTAGAGTTTTTTTATCCTTACCTCATCCGATTCATAGTATTCCGCAGTATCCGAGTCCTCTTCTCCTTCTCCTTTCAGCGCCGCTTTCTGTACAAGAGTCAATGTGGCGCCCACGGTTTGTCCATGGAATCAACTCTATTAAAGTCCATTAAAATTGTGATATCTCTTGAGAGAGCCGGAGATTCATTTGAGCTTTTTCGGAAAGATTTCCTCTTCCTTGATTTCATCACCTTTTCGATAACTGATGAAAAGGATTCATTAAAGTTTTCAATGCAATTATGTAGTTGATCTTGTCTAATTGCTAGAAATGATTTATTTGCAAGTTTTAATGACCAAATTTTGATAGATCAGTCAAATTGTGATAGACTGACAGCAAATTTACTAAGCCTAGTTTTGTCTGCTTAGTTTGATTCTTTAAATCCTTTCCAAACCAAGTTGACATTTGATCTTTATTTCATAATTATAAGAAATGAGTCACCTGATACTTTAGCTAATCAATTGCTAGCCTTTAATTTCCTGGGAAAAGATCTGAAAATAGTCTTTGTTGTGCTTTGTGAGAGAGGTGTTTACCATTTTGAGTGTTCGCTTCTTTGTGAAGTCTTTCTCTATGAAACGGATTGAGAAACTGTAAAGGGATGGGCAATTCAAAGGAGTCGAGTGGGTGTCGAGGACCTCTTTTAGAGCTTACAGAAATGGCCGACCCTTTCGAGATCCCCAATCAGAGTGAGATCAGACAATAGGGACCACACCTTATTTTAGGGATTAGATAGACTTAAATCTGTCAATTTTGTAGAACAGTTTAGCCAGCATAGATTACGGTATTGCAGTAGAAAACAAACGACGCACAAATCCCAATCTTCAACTCGATCCCACTAGTCAGTTCGTTTCAAAAGCCTCAGCTTCAGCTTCAGTTTTAGCTTCAGCTTCAGTTTCAGCTTCAGCTTCAGCTTCAGCTTCAGTTTCAGTCTCAGTTTTGAAAGTAAAAGACTATTTCTTTAATTTGTTCACTTTTGATACCAGGATGCACAATAATTCTCTTAAATGGTAGTCCACTGTTGTCCATTCAATTCTTTTCCCCCTCTGTAAGGTTCCTGTTTTGAGTGACCGAAAGAACACTCACACAAACAAAACCCCGAAATCTCCGATTACACTGGCTTTTCGATTCACCCAAACAAAGATTGCAAAAAGAAGCGTTGCTAAAAAAAACAAAAACGGTCCATCTTTTATGAGTTAATTTTGGGAGAAACGAATCTGTGGAAAGAGGAGAACTTGGCTGACTTGACTGACTTGACTTGGCTTGGCTATAATCTTAGCTTCACTATGTCCAAATAGGATTTAGTTTACAAGCTCTGGAGTTAAATTATCTGAACCAACTAACAATAAGATAGCTTACAACTAGATCTATCTTCTTTGCAGATTTTAACAACTCTAATTGACTTAAGAGTACTATTTTAAGTATTGGACAACCCTTCCATTACAGCTTTTCTGAATTCTCACCAATCTTGCTACCAGCATTCATCGTCCATTTCAGCTCTCATGGACATAGTATCGCAAACTTTGAGTGTTTGTTGTGGCCTTTTCCTTTTCTTTTTAATCTCATGGGTGCATTGGTCCCCGATCATCTCCAGGGTCACTCGGAAGCTTCAGCATAAGAAAGAAAAAAAAGCGAGTGTGTCAAGTGGGACCGGGTCTGTGCGCTGACAGAATGGCAAAGAGAACTGGATCCTAGTAGCAAAAGAAAGGCGAGTCGAGAGAAAAACGATCGCCCCGTTGGTGACGTGCAACGGGGAGCCACGAGCCGACGCCACCTATTCGAAAAAAGGAAAAGAAAAAGATTGACACATTCCACTTCATTCAAAGACACGTTGGCAATAGGGATGGAAGAGCTTTAAACCGTCTAGAAGGGTTGATGAAAGGGTTAAAGATCTTCCAAGGGAGTTGGGGAAAGATCACAAATTGGAATTGTACCAATGTTCAAGCTAATGATTCAAATATTTTGTTTTGCTAGCTTAATAGTATTGTTAGTATATTTCTTTTTGATCAAAGAAAGCCAAGGTCTGGAAGTCGGAAAATGATAAAGAAAGGAATTTAGAAATTAAATGGATAGTCAATCATTCTTAGAGTGTGTTCCTTGCAGACAATACGTTTTCTAAAAAGACAAGCTAAAGATAAGCTACCGTAATCTTATGCTTTGCATCAGAAAATTTTTCAAAATGCAAATGTACATTAAAATGATTCATTCTTGTTTTTTCTTTTTGCTTCTTGTTTGAAAAAAAAATCAATGACTGTTGCTTATCCAGATTGTAGTTTTTGATTCATTTAAGTTTAGAAAGAAAGAATACTAAACATAGATATGGTAAATTCCAAGTCGAACCTAATTCCACTATGGTTTTCTTGGTTTCTTGGCAAAGATCACAAATAAGTCTTAGATTACATATCTAGTCCAGTCCAGGTAAGCCGTTCCCGGTTTTGACTGTACTAGGCACAGGAAAATTCCAAGCTGAACCTAATTCCACTTTGGTTTTCTTGGTTTCTTGGTCGATTGCTCTGAAATTTTGGCTACAAACTGAAAATTTTTGATTTCTATCTGTGAACAGAGCAATCGGCCAAGAAAATAAAGATGGAATTAGGCTTAGGTTGAAATTTTCTTATCTACTGTACCATATTGTACTCGTTCTGGATCAAGTTATGTCTACAGGATGTTAGGATTGTTTTTTTTTCAATCGCTAGGCCTTAAACTTTATGAATTTCTTGAAAGACAACATCATGAAAAGGGAAAATTGTAAAAGCTCAATAAATTAAAAAAAATTCAAATCAAACTTTTAAATGAATAATTTTAGGATCAAGTGTGCGAGGTGCTTGACAAACTTGAAGAGGGAAATCTCGATGATGCTATTTGGGGGAAAATCGTGATCATGGAAAAATGCAAACGAGTTGCCAAGGCTTATTTGAGGAAAACGACGATTATTGTCGATGGATCGGAAGTTTGTTTTTAGGATTTTAATTGTTTTTTTGAATATTTATTCAAATATTAGATGAGAATTGAAATGAAAACATTCAAATTTCGACATTATATAAATACTTTATTCAGAAAGAAATAAAGTGCGAAAACGACATGAAAAATGTACTAGATAAAAGATCACAAAGTCACTTAAAATGCAACGAAATAGCCCTTTTAAAATGATTGAAACAATTTCAGGATGAATTCGACGGCTCAACGCTTGGCTTCAATTGTTTTGATAACACTTATCGAGATGAAAACACTGAAGAGATACGACAGAAAATTGGTGATGTGAGTATCAGAAATTTACTTGTAAATCTTTAATTTTTAATTTAATTTAACAAATTTTGAAGGAAATTTTTCAATTTACGATTTAGGGAGTGATTTTGAAAGTCGATTATCAGGGGAATATCAAGGGAATGGCTAGAGGGACTACTCCGGTCATATGTCTTGGATTTAAAGGTTTTTTGATCATTTTTTGAACATTTTCGATTGGAATTTTATAAATAAACAGTGATTTTCTAGATAAATTTCTTTCTTTAGATAGTGAACGAAGGAAAAATTGTATCTCTGATCGATTAGCGAGGCTACAAGGCCGATTGAATACGAATGAAGAGGATAAAGCATTCAAGGTTGGTTAAGGGTTTGTATTGGGTTGGTGAATTGAAAGCTGCCGGACTTTGAACTAAAATTTATTCAACATAAAACCATGAATTCATTCCAAATCATTTCCATTATTATTGACGACTTCTGCCCATTTTACAGGCAATTTGCGGATTCCTCTTTCGTAGTAGGATTTTGGTTTTGAATCGAAAAACTTTCAAAGCCAATTTTTGACTGCTTCTTCCGAATCGAAGTGTTCTCCCGCAAGCTCATTACTCATGATCCAGAATAAATAGTAATCAAAAGGGGCGAGGTCCGGACTATATGGGGAATGCGCCAAAAGTTCCAAAACAAGGCTATTTATTGTAAGAAATGTAAGGAAAGATAGATAGGTTATAGACGAATATTATATTATCATTGACGACTTCTGCCCATTTTACAGGTAATTTGCGGATTCCTCTTTCGTAGTAGGATTTTGGTTTGTGTGTGAGACAAGTGTGAGACTCAAAAATGGAGGACTGGAGATGTCCCAGTTTGAGCACTTTCTTCAAAAGAAACCCATTTTGGTGTGAATAGAAAAGTTGTAGAGAATCAAAAATTAGGCTTCTAGCCAAATTTCCAAAAAGATACACTTAGTAGTTTCTCTTAAAATGCAAGTTTTGTGAAAATTCGTAAATTTGGCATTTCTTGAAAACCAGTTTTTGAATCGTTCTGAAAATTTGGATATAAGCTTCATTTTTGATTCTCTACAACTTTTCCATTGACACCAAAATGGGTTTCTTTTGGAGAAAGTGCTCAAACTGTCACATATGACAATACCCTGCAGTTTTCAATTCACCAACCCAATAGAAATAAAGAATAAAGAAAGAATGAAAAGATTTTGATCAAATAAAGTTCTAAAATCAAGCAGTTTCTTTAGATTTTCGACATGCGCCGATTTAAGAGCGCTCTTGATCGAGAAATCTCGGATGGACAACCAGATGCGAAAAATTTATTACTGAAAACGACAGTGAGGGTTGCATTGGTGAAAGATGGAGGAGACATGAATAGGTTAAGAAATAGAATTTAATATAATGAATTTCTCTCTCCAGAACTCCTTGTTGGTTCACCGTTATCAATTTGATTGCCCTGGACACCTTGAAATCAAGAATACCGAATATCAAGAATATGAGTAAGTAAAGAAATCTTGTCTAACTCGTTTTCTAAAACCTAGAAACTTTAGAAAGCTATCGTAATCATGACAATAATCTAAAAAGCTAAAAAACCTACCTAAGCAGTAATCTAGAAAGCTAGAAAATCTAAAATAAAACCCGAAAGCTACCTTATTTTCCACTTTTTATCTGATTTTGTGAACATTTTGCAAAGAAGATGCGAAAAAATGTGAAGATACAGTACTGGACAATGAAATCTCATATTTGAAAAAAAGATCGTCCCTTTCGCACGTCTGTAACTCCCATGTCTTTGAATTTAAACTATTAGTGTTATACATTTTCTGAAAGCTCTTTTCAATGGCTACGCAATGGTAATATTAATAATTAGAAATACGATAAAGACAAGGGAGTTACAGACGCGCGAAAGTGACGATCTTTTTTCAAATATCATATTTCATTGTCCAGTAGTGTACACAAAGAATGTTGAAAGATTTCAGAAATTGATGGATTAGATAAAAGCTAGAGCCAAGATTACAATAGTTTTGATTGTTTAGTAGTTCTAGGTTTAGAATTCTACCAAAATTTCCAGGCCTAATGAATCGAAGCCACTCCGAAGCAGCCTATTCATCTTTACCGACTCTCGTCGCACCGACTCCAATCTACAATCAACCAGCGAATTCAATTCAAATAAATCAACAAGAGACTTATGGAACAAATCCAAACGGGGTAAAGAGTTTGGATATAAATTTAGATTGCTTGTAATTGATTGATTGATTTATAATTGATTCTTTCAGTCACCAAACGATCCGACTCAAGCGCTCACACAGCTCATTGCGGCTGCAGTGAAACAAGCGAATGGGTATGTTTTAAAAATAAGAATCATGATTTTTAAACCCCCAAACTTCTTGTTAACCTAATAAATCTGTTGATTCTATTCAATTTATTCTTTAGCCAAACGATCTCTCAATCTCTTCACAATTTGCCAGTTTCTGTCGATCAGTTAGCAACATTGGCGAGCTCGCTTTCATTGGGAAAACAAGAGATCTCACAACAGATCCTTGCACCTCAAGTTGGCATCAAAGGAGATCGCAAAGATCGACGGTAAAGATTAATTTATTCAAATGTGGTACAAATAAAACAATCATAACCCCTAAGCCCTAAATTTAGAGAAGAAAAATCCATATAGATAACAAAGAACCAATAATCTAGCCAGCGAGATTGAACCCTTGACCTCCTGACTAAGATAAAGAACTCTTAACCAGTTGGCCATGGTGGAGAAAGATAATTGAGTTTTAAAAAAACGCTTAATTCCCTTTTCAGGAGGAACTACAAAGTGCCGTCGGCAGACGATTCCTCTGGAGAGGACTCAGCTCTTCGATCTGACAGTACACAAGGAGAATGTCAACCACGGTCCCGGAACAAAAGGTGAATCAAAAGTTATTTAAGAATTGAGACAGGGAACTAGTTAACAGAATATTTCAAAACAAAGGTTTAAAATGTTTGAAAAATGTGATAGAAATGATTAGTCCTGAGGATTTTCTATGATGTTATTCTGGCTTTAACAAACATTTAACAATTTCTAGGTGGGATCAAACGACGAAATCAATCGACGCGGTGGCTGTACTTGGTGGGGGATCGAATGTGCCGAATGGTTCCACTTCAACGTGCGCGAATTCGTTGGTCGCCTCTCGCTCTCGCTCTCCGGACGTATGTGATCAGCGTAATATCACTGTGGTACTGTCCTCTGTCCAATAATTTCCTTTTCAAAGATTGAAGTGTAAACTTTAGATTTAGAGTGAATGCATGCTTTTTGTTTTATCACTAATTTCCATTTCTCTTTTAGTCGAAAAGGCGCGGTCCGCCCCGTCCTCGGCTGCAGGATGTCATGTTTGATCGATCATACTCGACCACTTCCGATTATGACTCGAATCGAGAACTCTTTGATTCAGGAAGCTGGAGCTCGAATGGATCAAATTGCTATCAGGTGGGTATTCAAGTTTCCTATCTACCGAAAAGCTTGAAACTAACAAGGGAATTACACCAGCTCGAAGTTCAGAATTGCTTCTCATAGCTGATTCTGATCACTTCGAAGTTCAGAATTGCTTCGTGATCGAGTGCATCTCATAGGATTAGCTATGTTGATTCTGAATCTGTAAAAATTAGCTGCAAACACCAACATGGAATCTGGCTAAGAAGATTCCCTTCATGGGATTCTCATAAGGCCGCCACAAAGAAGCTTTCCGACTTTCCGAGCTTTCGGTGGTCTAGCGGATAGTGTGCTAGCCTCCTGAGCCTATCAAGTTCTTTGGCTTAGGTTCGAACCCTCCCTTGACCGATTCTTTTCATTGAATCCTTTGAATCATATTCAAAAAGGCTTGAAGTAAAAAAGTCAAAGCTGAATCCAAACATTCTTGTGCATTCCGAGGTTTAAAAGAAGGTAGCTACCTCAAAAAAACATTCTGAAAAAAAGATCAAATGTTTTAAGTGCAGAGAAAAACAATTTTAATCCCACATTCTCAACAATCACTCTTCTAGGGTCGAAGTCCCGCCTCTTCAGTGGTGTCCGACTCTGAAGGGCACGCACGTCTAGCGAAACCCAAACAAATCGAAGGTCACAATGGGAAACTCGTTCAATTACGACAAGCTCCACCCCCGCAAAGAGCCATCAAAGAAGTGCCACTCTCACGGCAACAAGTCGTTCGAAAAGGTTGGTTTTCTTTGAAAAAGTTCAAAAAAATACGTTTAATGTTTTTTCTCACTGAAAAGTTAACAAAATAACGTTGTGAAAGTGTAAAAAAAACTTCTTAACGAGAGTTTTTCTTTACATAAATAATTCTTTCAAACAATGTTTTGTTTAAATTTTTCAAAACTAATGTTTCATGAGACTCTGGTGGGTCGAAATTAGAAGTCAAAGTCAATAAAAAGTTAGCCTGAGGTGTTCTAATTGCTCATTTTAATTGCTGTCAACTGCATTTCTAATAGTTCGGCTGATCAATCTCTTATCACTATTCTTAGCTCACCAGAATCACATTCACAATTTATTTTTTTGATTTCTTACACTTGATAACAATTTCAGAGTTGCACCGCCAGACTAGCACGAATTTCAATCGATTACCATCGATTACCGCTTCAGCACCGAAAGCCGAGATCTATGAACACGAAAAGGAGAAGGATGAGAGAAAAGATCGAACACTTGACCATCCAAGTGATCGTTCGAGCAAACCGAGATTAACATATCGATTATCCGGCGTAAACGTGCCCACACCGACCACCAAACCCCCGCCTCCACCACATGAATATGATGAACCCGAAGTAACCGACGAAATGATCTCCATCGTACCTGTACCCGCCACAAATCATGATCAAGCTTCTACATCAATGAAAGATGCTGATTCGATTCCCCTTCACGCGACAATTGTGTCTACTGATGATGAGGAGATCAACACTCTGCCACCACCAAAACCACCATCACCTGATTACACTGGTAGGAGAAGGAAAGAAAAGAATTAACGACTTAACTTTTAGATTGTAATCATTGTAACATTAACTTTTAGATTGTAAACAGCTTCATCTTAAATTATGAATTTATATCTTTTGTTAGGCAAAAGATTTGAAATTTGAATTTCTATGATTTCAATTTAAAATTATGTTCTATTTTGAAATATTGAGAGAAAGCTCATTTCTTTTCTCATGTCACCTCATTTCACTCAGTAAATCTGATTCAAGATCTACTAAACCAAGTGAAACCAAATTCGACTCAATCTTTAACTTTTTCTTTCACTTGATTTGGCTTTGGCTTAAAAAACAGCTCCAAGTTCTTTTTGTTCACCTTATAGTCAATTCAAAGATCTTAACTTATCAAGTTCTGTAGGAAATTTTGTATAACATGATGAACTCACTTACCTCAACAACTACAAGTTTTCATCTAGCACATTTTCATCAAAATTCTCATATCATTTAGATGCACGACGGCAAACGGCAACGTAAGTGAACGTTTTAGCATGCGCTGAGTGAATTTTTGAGAATGAAAAGGAAATTTGATTAGATCTAATCATCAGGCAAAACAGTAAAATTGTCTGAATATTGATTAACATGAGAAAATGAAAGATCGAAGGCCGTCTAGAGCTCTGCTTTTATAAATTTCTTGTCTTTATCATCACAAGAAATGTAGCTGCTTTTTTAGAGGAATACTTGCTAGTTCGCAATTTTAGCTAAACATTTTAGTATAACAGTTTCGGAGGGGTGCCGAAGCGTGGAGGTAGCTTCTGCATGAGAAATCGGGAATGAAAAGAGATTGTTGGCATGGGAATTGTTGCATGAAATATTGGGAATGTCTTTGCATGAAATTCTTGGGAATTCTAGAAATCTATTCTACTGATTGCTATAGGTTTTAAGAAACTAGATCACAAACAATGAGACAGTCAAAGAGAAGCTCAAAGAGCTCAAAACAATGAGCTCAGCTCAAAGTGCTTAGCTCAAAGTGCTCAGCTCAAAGAGCTCAAAACAATGAGCTGTCAAAGAGAATTTTGGTAAAGCTTATGCAGCTCAAATCTAAGTTTCCTTTAAGTTTACAAATGCCTAAGCTAACAATCCAAGTTCTTTTGAGTTTAGAACTAGAAGTGTTAACTTAAAATCTTCCTGTAAACATCTACAGCCTACTTTAATCACTTCCATTCAAAATTTCGGTAATCCATAACTCAAAAGAAGAACTTGAAACTCTGGTTTTCAAGAATCCCTTTTTCTATTTCAGAATTGAACGCCGAAAAGTCATACGAAGTTTGGTTCAATTTGCGGTCACTTTTAGACCAACCTTCTTCTTTCTCTTGGTCTTGTTTTTTGAGTGAAATCCACATTGTTCTAGAATGTGGTAATACTTTAACATGCAAGTGGCATGAAACTAGCAAAATTTCTGAAAAAAAAACTGACAATGATAATGTTTTCCAAAATCCAAAAACTTTCCTCTTTTAGGGCCGTCTTTGGGAGAAACAGCGTCCCTCGACGGGCTCTCAAAGAGCGACCAGCTTTGTTGGGGAGTTACGCCGGGTTCTCCTCAAGCGCAACTCATTCAAGGTAGTTGAAAACAAACAAATTCATAATTCCATTCACTCTACCTTTGAAAAGACATCTATTTTCAATCTCTAGGAAACAAATTTTAGGAACAACAGAACGCAGAACAGAACAACAACAAA